ACCAAGAAAGATCCACCCGCATGCCCTTCTCGCAACTTCTACAGCACGGGCAGAGCTTCACCTTGAAGCAGGGCACTGGGCAAAAAATACTCTAACGTTAATTCCATATGAGAAGCACTTCACTCTTCAACCGAGGTATGAAGTACGATATTTTTAAGTGTGTGGTTTGAAAAATGTACGATTTTACACACATTTGTGAATACTTTCATATCTGCACTAAGACCAATCATGAGGCTCCCACAAGGATCCCTGATGACCTTTCTCGTTAGGACATCTCTTACTAGACGTGGTCTTACCTCCTCATGTACACGATGTGCAATCACAGTGTGTGCTCTTTCACTTGACATTCTCTTAGACTCATTCTCACTTTGCCTGTGTAGCAATTTCTTCTTTTTCATTGATAATTTCATTATCTGCACATATCCTATCTTATTAACCACTCTACTCAGATGAATGTTTAGCTTGCTTCCAGTCTCTGCTACCAGAAAGACAGCTGCCAGTAACGTTCCTGTCTGTCTTCTAAATGGATAAAAGTAAGTACCCTCCTATACTGGGATCTTTACTTATGCCTGCAGAAGATTACACACGATGACAACTGTATGCGTAAAAACTTCATCAAAATGTTACTTACAATTGAAACCTGGAGAAATGATATTGGTTAATAGGGAAAAGATAGATCATTCAATACATGGTGTTAAGAATTAATATTTATATGTAGAGAAAGGGCAGTTTTGATTTCCATTCATACCATTTACTAAAATAAAATCATTCAATAAATACATATGTACATAAATAACAAACCATAATAAATTATAAGAAAACAAGCAATTGTTCTATCAGCCAAGGAAGGAATGCCTAAGCATAAAATGTATTAAATAAACTATGAAGTTTTTTCTTCATAGCAATTTAAAATTTCTGCAGGCAAAAATACATAATTAACAAAATTATAATTCACTTAATAATTCATGAATGTTTATAACAAATATACCACAAAAGGGTAAAATCTTATAATAACCAAAGTTCACATAAGTCTGTGAGAAGAACATTATCAGCCCAAGAAGAGAGTCAGCAACCTGTAGGATCAGATTTATAAAAGAGAAAACCACATGTGACTAGTAAACATGAAATCTTTCAACCCTATTAGTAATCAAAAAAGAGCAGATGAAAACATGGGGCCCTTGATCTTCACATGTCACAAAGTGCAAATATTGAACAATATTCAAACTAAGATGGAGAAGGTGGCAAGAGAGGTGTCCACACACATGCCGGGTGGTGTCTCTGGGGAGCAACTCAGTGATATGCACAGAGACTTAAAGACATCCAGCACCTTTGTCCAGGATTTCTCTGTGAGGAACCCGTCCCTGAGGAGCAACATATAAACAAAGGCACATTTAACACCCTCATCAAAACAGCTTTTATCATTGCCAGAAAAATGATTTTAAAAAAAGGCCACTAACAATAAGAAAATAGGGGGATGACTGCTGACTGTCTAATGGAATAAGACCGGCCCCTAGGTGATGCTGCACGCCAGGCAAGGCCCAGCAGCGCATCCGCACACCCTGCAACAGCAGCTTGAGGGGCATCCACAGGGCAGGGCAGATCTTGCTGTCCATCACACTTGGGGCAGAAGTGGCTGTCTGCGGGAGGCAGATGTTGATGCCTGGAGGGAGTCTGCCCCGTGAACTGCGAACCTTAAACTCCAAGACTGGGGAGTTAAGTGTATTCAGGACCTTGGATAACTCCAGGGGGTGGTAAGATCGACAATGGCACAGAGGACGGTGGGCCAGCTGCACTGACCCAGGGCCATCTCTTGCTTCCCAGGGAGGGACAGTGGCTGTGACCTCATCAGTGAGTCAGGGAGGGGCACACGGGCTGGGGGGGAGAAAGACATAAGATGCCAGCCTACAGAAGGAAGCCCTTAGAGACTGTACATGCAAATACATACGTGTGCAGGACACACACACACACACACACACACGCACACACACGGGACTGGACACTCTTCTTTGGCACAGGAGAGAATATGAAGCAAAATGAAGAGTGGTTGGTTGCCTGTGATCCTATCTTTAACTTCCTGTTGTGCTGAGCTAGGGAAATGCTATAGGTACCCAGAAAAGAAAGAGAAAATGAAAAAGAATAATGTTACCTAACTCGCCGGGAGATTAAAGGGAAAGGAAAAGTGGGAAACTAGGACAAGCGGGTTTCTTGCTGCTGCCCTTGGCTTTGACCAGGGTTTTCATGGCTTTGTTATGTAACCGGACGGTTTTAAGGTAACAAGCAGGATCTGTGGCAACCTCACAGATTCTCAAGGTTGTGCACAGTGGTGACCCCATCTGTGTGACAATTCCATGCATATCACCCTGGTTATTCATTGGGTAGACCCTCGTTGTGACACTGATGACATGGGAAGTCACTAAGTGTTGGTGGATGTGATCTGCCCCACTACAGCTGTGCAGAGTCGCTCAGGTGGCACTCCTGGTGCAGTGTTTGGGGGTGCCCCACGGATGGCGTGGCTTCCTGTGGAGGACAAACCCAAGGCAGGAAGGCACCTCCTGGCCCAGGGTGCAGTGAAGGGGGCCCGCTGGTGACACCCAGGGCATCCAAGCCCCTGGAGCTCAGGTTCTCATTGGTACCAGGACTTCCACACAGGCAGACAGTGTGCCTGGACCTTCTCATTTGGTTAGAGGGAGAGAAGGCCCTTAAATACCAAGGGACAGAGACCCATAGTCAGCAAACAAGGGAAGACCCAGGTGCCCAGGACGCGAAGCAGACGCTGGTAGATGCAGAGTCCTCTGCGGGGGCTTTTACAGAGGAACGCTTAGTTACAGAGTGGTGGGTCGGGGATATTCCACAAGGGTACAGTTCATCTCAGATTTGAAAGTCACTAAAGGAAGTTCACCACACTTCTAAATGAAACTAGAAAAGCCCAAGATTATCTCAGCAGACATGGAAAGATGCTTGATAGGATTTTTATATTCATTCAGCTTAAAGCCATTAGCTTATGGAGATGGAACAGAGATTTTATCTTTTCTCTCCTTTTTCCAAATGGATGTGTGTGTGTGTGTGGGGGGGGTCTGTGTGCCCAGCTGGCCTTCGACTCCTGCCTCAGCTTCTACAGTGTGCACCACCCGGCCCAGCGTGGAGCCAAATGTCTTAGATTGAAGAAAAAAAAAATTGAACCTGCCAAAATCTCAGAGCAAACATTCTACCAAGTGGCATATTTAAAGCATTTGCTTTCGGAAGGCCTGAGGACAAGATGCCACTGCACCACCAATCTGTGGCCCAGCCAGGGCCTTCAGATGTGAAACACCAAGGAGCAAGACTTTGTATGGGAAGCACAGAAGAACAGTACTTGTTTATTTTCTATAAGGAAATCCCCCCCCTGACATTTTCAAATTATTAGATTTAGTGAAAGTGTTGAACAAATTTGGTGGAAATAAGATAAATTTAAAACTCAATTTCATTTCTGTACCCAAGCAACAAAGAAAATATAATTTTTATGCAGATACTATTTACAAGAGTAACAAAATATACAATGTGCTAGAAATAAATCTAACAAAATATGCTTAAGACTTGAATGGGTAAAATTTGAAACTACAGAGAAATGTAAAGTCCCCTATAAAGATCGGGGGATGTGCCTGGTTTGTGAGGAGGAGGACTCAGTTATCTTGGAGATGCTCAGTCTTCCAACTTATGTAAATCCCAACAAGGTGGGTCCTTAAATCCTAACAAGCTGACTCCAAAACGAATAAGGAAAAGGGTGGCCAGTGTCCAAGATGCTTTTTTTTTTTGGGGGGGGGGGGGTTACTGTTTTGTTTTGTTTTTTAATTTTTATTGTTGGTTGTTCAAAACATTACATAGTTCTTGATATATCATATTTCACACTTTGATTCAAGTGGGTTATGAACTCCCATTTTTACCCCATATACAGATTGCAGCATCACATCAGTTACACATCCATTGATTTACATATTGCCATACTAGTGTCTGTTGTGTTCTGCTGCCTTTCCTATCCTCTACTATCCCCCCTCCCCTCCCCTCCCCTCCCCTCCCCTCTTCTCTCAAGGAGCTCTTGATGAGCAGGTGAAGGCAGTGGTCCGCAGCCAGGGAGACTGGCTTTAGAAACACAGCAGTTGAGACAGTGTCATTCTGGCCTAGGAATAAGCAATCAGCACAAGAGGAGGCTTACAGAGGAGCAGAGCTGCCCGTGGATCCCAGGAGACTCGCGGGTCAGCTCAGACCAGAGAGGAGAGCCAGAGGCTCAGCTTGCACTTCAGAAGTAGGGGAAGAGTGACTCCAGCCACTGCCCCACGCCACGCACGAACACATAAGACGGGTGAACAAAAGCCAAACCCCAAGAAAGGAAATATGGGGTCAAACACTTGAGAATTTGGAGGTAGGGGAAAAAATTTGAACAAAACGAACAAAGCCTAAAATCCCAAAGACAGTGGACACTTGAGTAAACTTGAGTAGAATTCGGAATGGCCGCTCATTACAGCATCAGGAGCACGACGAGGCAAGAAATCAGGGAACAGATTCATATAAAGCTTTAGTACTTGGTATGTTGTGAACAATGCCTAGAAGTCAGTGGAGAAATTTGGGAGTCAATGGTTTTGGTGGAATTTTCAACTTGTTCACTTAAGAATTTTTAATTATGCATTAAAATTGAAGGTGGGCAGAATTAATAGTGGCAACTTCACTCCTCTGTCCAGAAGAGTGTGCATGAGAATACATATGTGTGATAAGGAGTAATTGTTAAAGGAAACTTTAGCTGTTAAAATGCATATGATTGTTAAATTTACTTTTTTAAAAAATATCTTTATTTTTATTTATTTTTTTTATGCGATGCTTAGGATTGAACCCAGTGCCTCAAGCCTGCCAGGTGAGCGCGCTACTACTTGAGCCATATTCCCAGCCCCAAATTTACTTTTAAAAAATTCTGTTAGCATTAAAATTTAAAAAATAAACAACCATATATAACATATATTTCCACTAGCAGATATGAAAACTTATTATGCATTTATTAGAATTGAATGAACTACAGCTGCATACATTAATGTAGATGCTGCTCAAAAGCACACTGTGGCGTAGAGATGGAAGGCAGTGATTTTTGGCAAGGGCTGGAGGTGAGAATCAGGATGAGTACTCCTGAGCACAAGGATTTGGGAAGGCTTTTTGGAGTGATGAAAACAATCAATCCATGATGTATGCATACATGAAAATAGCACATTAAATTGTATGTAAAAAAGAAAAAGAAGAAAACTGTTCCACATTTAGATAGTGGTGGTGCATTTCACAACATCATGAATACATTAAAAAATACTGAATTGCACATTTTTATGTTGTGTGGGGTATATTCCAGTGAAAAATACCAAGCATGTTAAGAAAAGAAGCAAGCTGCAGAACACAATAGTTATGTTAACGTTTCTATAATGCTTAAATAACAGTACAACGCATCCATATTTGGTAAAACCCCAAAGCAGCCAATGAAAAATAAACAGAATTTAAAATAGTGACGAAGCTATTCAGAGAACTTAAGATACTGGTAATGTTCTCTTTAATTAAGCTTTTCAGTTGAAAATATTTTCCACTTTACCAGGACGGATATTGTTTTCTGTGTTCAAAGGAAATCTCTGCTTGGATATAAACGTTCTAAACTGATGATCCCTTCACAGTTGAACAGGAGTTTGGGAATCCAGTGTTAGAGTACTGGGAGAGAACTAATTTCTACTATATGGAAAATGACTTCAAAATAAGGAAAGGATTGTTTCCATTGCAATAAGAGCTCTCACTCACTCCCCAGACAGAAGGCCATTGAGAATAGGTGTCCTCTACTCAAGCAACTACGGGTGGCTGGAACCCCACCCCAGCTCCTTCTCCAACCACAGGTAGATTTCTCTCTAGCTCCAAAGATGATACACTTCCTCCTTGTAGTATTGTGAACCTAGGAATTAGGAGAAATAAATTCTAGATGACTATAATAGCATCAGAAACAGACTTTGGATTTTATAGTTTAATTCTCTTCCCTGCCAGAGTATACTTTTTCCTCTAAAAAAAAAAAAAGCCTTCAGCCATCTTGACTTTCCTTATTTCCCCCACCTGCAATGGTTTGAAAAAAATCACTCCTTTCCTGAAGCTAAGCATAGGGATATTTATTAAATACCCACCCTCTCTCCTGGGCACTTACCCGTGATCTTCCAGATTACACAGTGAGGCATGAGAAGGACGCCGGGCTGACAGGAAGGACTTGCAGAAGCAGGAGGTGCGTCCACAGCCTTCAGCTCAGTCACCTCTTGTCCCGGTCAGGCTCCTGCTGCCCTGCTTTCCAGACCGTTCCAAGGCACCCTCTGGGATTCCCAGTCACCATTAGGAAACAAGCCTCCCTGGACCCTGGGAGGTCAGTGCTTCACTCCTTGAGTGGACAGGCTCCATCAGGTCCTCGACATGTGACTCCCAGGCAATGAGACAGGACACAGAGTGAAACAGCAAACACTCACTGGCTGTGTGTGACAGGCCAGGCAGGAGGTCCCAAGGACCTTCACACATACATTTCTGTGCACTTTTCAACAACCATAACCACCCCCACCACACACACACACACACACACAACCCACACTGGAGAAGAAAATATTACAGAAATACAATCCAAAAAAGCCCAACAATTTTAACAAGAGTGCATAGAGCATCTACTACATGTCATGTCCTTTAAAGAGTGAATCACAAACTTTTTGCCATTCCAGACAAGAGCTCAATGACTGCGTCTGCACCTTCATATCCCCAGCAATATGCCATGGGCACCCTGGCAAAGGAATCCTGCCACAATGCAGAGTGATTCCTAGAAGTCAGTCAAGGATCCAGGCACTTGGGCTCTGTCTGGATGTTTTGATGGGTGCAGTCCAATTGCCCTGCACAGGTGTGGCTTCCATCTGCACCCCCTGCAGCCGTGGAAGAACCCTCTTCCCAACAGTTTGCAAACACCCTGCGGAGTCCAACTGCTTGGTGTGTGCCAGTCTGATAGGTGAACTATTACGTCCCCTGCAGTGGTGATTTGCATTTGTCTTATTACCAGAAAGCATAAGCCAGCTTCCGGGTGTTCAAGGTCCTTCTACACTTACTTTCATGACTGGGAACTTTGTGTTCAAATTGCCAATATCTGTAATGCATCTTTGGTTTCTTTATTCTCTTGTAGAACTTAGGACATGAAACAAACAATTAGTACTTCCACCATGATATTGGCAGTGACATCTTTTCCCCCGGGCACTTCATATTTTAATTTTTCTTTTACTGTTTTTTCCTTACAAAATTAAATTCTATTCTAGAAAGTCAAATTTTAAATTTTCTTCTTCTTTTCCTAAGTTTTATGGTTTCATGTTTTAATATTTAATTCTTTGGTTCACCTGGGACTTTAGTAAAACAAGACAGGGATCTGACTTTTACGTGCCTTTGTGTATGTTTGCTGGTTGTGTCGACCTCATCTTTCTTGCCTCTTAACGCAACGAAAGGCCAACTTCATAGCACACTACCTGGTCCTGTGTCGTTGGATTTATTTGTGTGCTTAAATTGGCCTGTGGATGTGGCTCTTTGCAAGTAGGTTCTCCACCTCCCTTTCATTTGTGTGCTTCCTAAGGACACGGTTGGGATCTGAGATTTCATTCCATTTTCCTAATAGGAGAATGAGCCTTGTACCCATAATGAGATAATGGCACAGGACGCCAGGCGATTGGGTCAGAGAATCATGGACAGAAAGCAGCAAGGCTTTTCTTGTTCCTGTTGACCCCAAGCACCTGGAGCAATGTGAAGAGGCCACCCCTAGGAGGCAGGAGGGGCGGGTGTCTCAGGGACACCCTGGCTTGAGAACCCACTTCTTTGTAGCATGAAATAAGCAAGGCTGCTTTGCCCCCAGGGGAACACACCCTAGTCTGGGTTTCAGAGGTGAGCACAGCCCCTTGAACTGGCTCTATTAGAGGAGGCCAGGATTGTGCACAGTTGATTTAACCAGAAGAGGAGGTGGGGCCTGAGACAGGGAAGACCATGCCTCCTGCAGACACAGGTCTGGGTTTGCACTTTGTTGCCCTTGGGACCAGACAGTGTATAGCACAAAGCAGGAGCTTGAGACACATGGATGAATTTGGCAGAATCCAACATGCCATTGGGTTGGTATGATATCACCAGATAATTGTAACCAGGAAGAAGTCTTCAGCACCACTGGGCACTGGTGGATACCTCCCAGCCATGGACTCAGGCGATGCTTCTATGGAAAGCAGCTCTGAAAACACAACCTTAAAATGAACTCACAGAATCACCAGAGCTTGGCTGAACTCATGTCCGTGGCATGCCATTTATTTACTGTCTTCCTTTCCTGTGAAATGTTTGGCTGATAACTTGGAAAGCGAGGACAGGGGTTAAGCACCACAAATTGCTTCTAAATAGACAACCCTCATCTGTGAAAGGGGCACTGGGTTGTTACACTTAAATGTATTCCTTATGCATTATTATGTTCGAAACTTTGATCCTACCTGGATGCACGCTAAAAGGGTTTTCCCCTCCTAAGAAATCAACAAGAGAAAGAAAAAAGAACCAGAGACAATCAACAAGCCGTGCAACCCACATGAGAGACAGGTGGAAATGAAGGGTGCAGGCGAACAAGACCACTCACACCGTCAAGCCAACACCCAAGAGCTCGGGCACCTGGCGGCTTCTGTGGAAGCCACTGGAAGGCATCTCCCAGCACAGGTGGAAACCTGAGGCCTCTTTGAAGCTGGATCACTGGATCACATCAACAATAAGGCTCACCTTCAATCCGCAGGTTAAAATAAAAGGTATTAAAGCAAGATTCACTTTAAAGTCGCCTCCATTTACGTTCTCCTTGTTCTTTTGTATTTATTCCTTGTCTCTCTTCCCAGTGCAAACATAATTTTCATGAGAAGATCAATCTGTCTAACCAAGGTGAAGTTCAATGCATATTTTCTTCTTCATCTTTACGACACCTTTTCCTGGAATTTTCGCAAACATAAAATCTGATGTTGTATTTGATATTCTGTGAAACTGTCCAGGCCCAAAGATGAAAATCATTCTCCCTGTCCCCTACCATCAATAAGAAGAGGCAAAAACAGCAATTAAAACAAAGGAATTAAAACAAAACATTAGATAGTTAAGAAAAGTGCCAGCTAATAGTTATGATCACAGATGACCACTGTTGGTTTTTAAATTATGTGATAATATTTTAACAAAAGGTACAAGTGAAAAAGAAATTTCTCAGACATGAAAGGAAAATAGTATGTTATTTAGATAAAAAGCTAAAGAAGCAAAGACCTATGTTCTTGATTCCTAAAGTTAAAACTTGACAAATACTGAACACATCTTAGGAATTCAAGTTTTGCTGATTTTTTACATTTCAAGTTGTGGATGACACAGATAATTATCTGTATGTAATTTCTTTTGACATTCATGATTTGAGGGATTAGAGCAACCACTGGAAATTGCATTAGAGATTTTGTGTGAAGAGATTTTTAAAATAGGTACAAATTTACCTAAATAAAATCAGAAAAATATCCAGTGTTAGAGAATCAATGTATCTCATCTTTTGTGTATGTTTTTTTTTTTTTGCTAACTGTGGGTAATATGGATTTTTAAATCTCACTTTTGCTACCTAAAAAGGTGTTCTGTATGAGATATATTTTAAGATTTTTTAAATATATAATTATTTTCTCTTTTAGCAGGATGCTGTTAGGCTGGCATCTAAAATTTTAATAAAGAAGCAGCAAACATTAGAATGCAGGCCAACGTTTACCTTCCAGTCATAATTCTTAGAATGTGTTTATCTGAACCGAAATCTGCATTCAGCAGAGTCAGCGGAAATGGCAATAAGAGGCATCTGCCTGAATTTCACAAGTTGCTGCTTTATTTACTTTCTGGTGAACCTCACTATTGCATATCCCCTTAAGTTACTTCAGTTAATACCATTTGTTTTAAATGTTCCAAACAAGGCAAAAGCTGTAATGTGTATGTGCATAGCTAATTATCTTTTTATCATTGTGGAGATGTGGATCTCACAGGCACTGTGGAAAATCACCCATGCAGGAATCAAGAGACTTCAGCTCAATGACCAAGTGTTTTATGATCATATTTCATAATACCTGCATTATGGAAAAACGATTTTTTTATCCTAAACTGCTAAGATTCAGCTGTCCCCTCATGAGCACACCAATAAACTACTTGCACTAATTATTACTATTATTGATGTTTTATCTATCAGGGTTTTTTTTTTTTTTCCATTGATAGATAAAGGTACCACATGATTGGCAACAAATAAACCAGGTCTTTGGACCCCTCACTATCTGAACAACAGCTCTGGTTAGACATATTCATTACTTGAATATCTCCATCATTTGCATTGCCCAAACTGAGCAAAGCAATTTAAGAAAAAAATGTAGTCGGTACATTTGGCATTAACAATTATCTTGCACATGTGAGTTCAAATAATTTTACTCAAAGTGACAGTCACATTGGGCATTTATTAATTGCCATTTGTAATTTATTAGTTTTGAAAATATGCTTTTGTTATTTGTTATTTTTAAGAAACATTTTCTTTCCCATCCATACTTTTTCAAATTCTGTTTTCCAACATCTTTCAAGATGACTTGAGCTTATTCTAAAATGGATCTGACACTTAAAGGTGAATGTAGGGGGCAACAAAATAACAATTTAGCTTTCAAGACAAACAAATAAACCTTGATTGTAACTCTTCCTTGATCTAGTAAACATACCAAAAACAAAAGCAAAAACAAACAAAAAACCCACACTTCATTTAGACTCTTGTTTTTTAGTTTATTGGCTAGTTTTCTAAAACTTTTAATTGACATTATATATATTTTCCATTCAACTATTCTTGATCAGTGGATATGAAAATTAGAATATAAAATGTTTTAGAAAATGTAAACGTAATAGCTTGATAGTTATTTGTTCATTAAAAAAAGTACACATTTATAATGTATCCACTCCTCACCTGTCATCTGATAACTGCTCTTAGTCACTCATTATCAATATTTGTTTTATCTCAAATTGTTTCTATCAACTTCCTCCCCAAATTCGCATTAGCTAGTGAGCAGGCTTTCATAAGAGTCACCATCACTGGAGCTGTGACAACTCACTTGAATCTGCCTGGGAAGAGACATTGCCAGTGGGTGGCAGCATGCACAAGAGCGGGTCACATTTCCTGTTATCTTAAGGTTGAATTTCAAAACAACTCTAGAATCCAGACTCCCAAGCAAACCTAGAAGCAGCCTACAGACAACTGCAGGAAAGCTGAGGATTTCTGAGGGGGAGAGGAAACCCTGGGCAGAACGCAGAACCCAGGGCACCTGGTGGGAAGCAGGCGGCTCTGCCCCGCAGTCACCTCCCCTCCCCAGCAGTGTAAAACCAGGGTGAGAGCCTGCTCCTAGAATCAACAGTGGGGTCAAGGCACACAGGCAGATCATCCCCCTCCTGCAACATTTGTACTCTGCACAAGGTCACTCCCAGCTATCTCCACTGCGCATCCCCCCGCCTTCTCCGGGAAAATATAGCTGTGTCATTTCAGAGACATTTTTAATGTCATCTGCTCATGATGTGCAGACTGAGAAGCAGACAATTTTGTTCTGCTCTGGCAGAAAAATAAAACAAAACAAAAACGTTCTAACCCAGCAGCTAGAACAGCAATAATACACAGAGCATCAACTTAGTCACACAAAATTTGAGTGTATATTACAGGAGCCAATGATTGCATGAAAGGTGCAGTGTCTAAGGAGGAAGGGTGGCATCATTTTCCCTGAGCTCAGTAATGTGATACAGTTATTATTGTGTAATCTGGGGACAGTTCTGGAGCTCGAACCCAGGCCTCTCTTGTGCTAGGCAAGCACTTTACTGATGAGCCACGCCCCCAGCCTCAATGTGTCACGTTTTACTTCAGTCATAGAGAATCTTGTTAGAAAAGTTGTTGTTTTTAATATAGAAGTACATTCTCCAATTCAAACATAATAAAATCCAGAGGGGTTGATAAGACAAAGTTCCTAACTGCATCTACTTTTTTCAAAAATATTTTTTTTTTAGCTGTAGATGGGCACAATATCTTTACTTTTATTTATTTATTTTTATATGGTCTGAAGACCGAACCCAGTGCTTCATACGTGTGAGGCAAGTGATCGACCACTGAGCTACAACCCCAGCCCAAACAGCATCCACTTTTTAATTGAGTGCTTATCTTTGACATAATTATATTTAAAATGAAAATGCTGTGAATATTGAATTAGCTGAGAGTTATTTTTCTAAATAGTATCAATTCAATTCATACACTTTTCAGAACAATTCTTGTTTTAAGTTATGGTAGTTTGCTCTACCATATATGTACACTAAATAAGCATTTTAGAAAATCCTTTCCAAAGTATTTAGGAAAGAAATCAGTTAGCCAATATTTCAAATGAGCAGAATAAATACTACAGTGGAAAACCTTTACAATTTCCAAAGAACTGATAGAATCTCTTGACAAATCCTGATTCTTTAAATGTTTGCAATACCATTCATAGATACTAAATGATCCAAACAGCAGTTACATTCTTGCATGTAAATCATTCTATTATGCTCACAGACCTAGCATGTTACAAAATTCTTGTGCAATTTCAGTTGAAATGTATTAGCAAAGAGATTTGCACAGAAAAACAAGCTGGGAAAGTGCTATAATGAACCTTAGATGAGCAAACGTCTGTGCAAGGTTCATTCATTAGAGAAACAGAAATTTATTAGATGAGCTCTGAACCACAGTATTAACCATATCCAAAGAGGAAGAAACGTTGCCATTCTAAAGATTAAATATATCCTCTGACATAAACCTGTGAAATTCAAATGTGTACCTCCAAAGATACACTTTTAAATTAGAACTATTCTCAATGATTATGTAGCATTCTATTTAACAATCTGCGTAGTCAGTTTTTAGACTGAGTACACCTCGACACACAATAGTGTCAAACATCTACAGGGTAAAGATTTAAAGAGAAACAAAACCTCAGAAGCAGTGAATCATCATCTAACTTCTCTTTCTATACATGCCTCTCTTACATGAAACAGAAAATTAATGCTGCTCCTTATTACCATCAGTATTGTGTTTGTATTATGGATTTGTAGCACATTTAAAATTTTTATAAAATTGATTTCTTCTTGACAAATTATTCCATGAAGGACCTTTACTTTTAATAATAAAAATATCATTATTGCATAAGAGCCTATGTCTAAAACAAAACCCTCCTTGCTTAAAGATGTGGCCATTTTGTTAGCCATGGAAAGAAAGTAAGCTTTCAGCAAAAGGTCCTCAACTATGAGAAAACCTGCATCCAGGCTGTGTGCTGGCATCAGGTCAGGCAAGCAGCACCCAGCCCTCTGTGCAGAGCTCTGAGGCAGGTGCTATTAGCTGACTGCTGCTGAAGGGTATGCGAGAACAGTTGGAAAATCACAAGGTGCAGAACAAGGTTCCAAAAAATAAACAGCTTATTTAGCAATGCAAAGGGCGAAAGAAAAATAGCTCCTTGGGTGAAGAAGACTGGGATATTTTCAATGACAATTTTTTACAGATGCTTCCATGGGCTGACTGGTAATGAGAACTGAATTGGACCTCCTAACTTGAACTTGGAGGTTCTAGGACTTTTGGATTACAAGTGGCTTGCAGTCTGCTGTAGACTCGTCCTCTTCATGATAGGACAAAGTCTCTGACATGGCTGGAATTCTACACCCTTCCCTCTTTTGCCCACCTTGGCAAGAGGCAGCACAAGGGGAAAGTGCTACTGGCCAACTTCAAGTTTCTGACACATTAACCCAAATACTGGCATTTAATGCCAACACAGCCCTAAGGAAAACAGGTGACACATGCCGACATCTGAGGGGTGAGCAAGTTGATGCTCAATGTGTAGCTGAAAACCTATTTTGTACTGAGTCAGAAATAAAAAGTAAAACAACTTCATAATACATTTTCTCAGAATAAATTATCACATGGTGTTGATAAGGGGAGACCCATCATCATCATCTGCTACCCGAGGTCACAGAACATAACAGGCAGGCTTATTGGCATCTCTCATAAAATTAGGCCACATTTTCTTCAAGCTCCAAGATAAGAATCCCTTTGTATTTCTTCTCTGAGTAGACATACTGCTAGGCAATACATGTCAACATAAAAACAGAAAAAATTTAAAAACATAAACCTAAAGTATAAGTCCATAAAGACTAAGGGCAGTGCCACAGCGCGCGCGCGCGCACAAACACACACACACAGACACACACACAGGTACACACTTAAAATGTCATTCATACCATGGTTAAATGTAACTCTTTCAGGCAAATTTTATGATATTTGCCATACTGATTATTCTTCCCAAATGTATGCTACTCATCAATAATCCTTACTATAATCACGTTAAAAGCAGAACGTTATGACTTCTCTCAGGGTCTCTTAGCACATAAAGTTAACCAATCTTTATGTCACCTCTTATACAAATGTTAAAATATATATCACCCTTTCAAAAATCTCAATCTTAAATTCTTTTCCTTACATTTTAAAATATCATTATATTTAAAACAAAGACGTTGGTAAATTATAGGGGACGTTCAAAGTCAAAATTCTGGGATTTTAACATTAAAAAACCTAAGATTATGAGATAAACTATTGTCACAAATTATTTCATGAAGACAAAATTTTCTTTCTGGAGCCTGCTCTGCTCTTAATTCAAGGAACCCCGCCCTCCAGAGTGGCTCTATCACTTAAGAGATGCAATTGTCTGGGTGCTTTTTGTCATCGACTTTCAAAGTCACTAAAGCCACGTAGATACAAACATTTGTAGCAGTTCAAGGGCATCTTTCGCCAAGCAGCTGCTGCCTGCGCCAGGCTCGCAGGTACCGCGACGCCCCCTCCCCGGCGAGTGCGGGGGGGGGGGGGGGCGCTGCAGGGACCGGCTCGGAGCTGCGGGGTCCTCAGGCCCGCCCTCTCCCGACACTATGGAAACCGCATTTTCCTACGCAGGCACGTCCTCCTCCTTTCTCCTATTACATCCCCAGCAGCCGACTTCCACTTCCCGAGAACCTGACAAGTGAATGGCGCTGATGACGCCCCGGAAAGAGCCCACGACCGCGGGGTGCGGGGGAAGGGCGCCCCCGGAGCGTGGGCCCCAGCGACGCGCGGCGGAGTTCCGGGCGCCACGCCCGCGGCACACCGCCCCCCCTCGGGGAGGCGCGGAGCCGCGATCGATCGGGAGCTCGCCGAGACTGGGATGCTCGTAAACAAGCCGGGCCGCGCGCCCGCCAACCCCGCGGGCCGGCACCGGGCACCGCCCAGCGCAGAGCGGCGCGGGCGGGTTCGCGCGCACCCCGAGCTCGGCGCGGGACCGCTCACAGAAACGGGGGAGAGGGCCGCGGAGGGCGGCCAAGCTCATCCCCCTTTATTGACCAGAGAGGCCGCGAGAGGCGCGAGCTGGGCCTCGAGGGCCAGGAAAGGGGTGCAGCAGCCAGCCCGGCCCCTGCCCCGGCTCTGCCCACGCCCCGCCCCTGTCGGCCGCCGCGGCCCCCGACCTCCGCGGCCCCCGCCTCTGTCTGCAGCTCCCCTCCCCGTACCCTCCCCGACGGAAGCTCCGAGCCCAATTAATTGAGTCAAAGGCGCGAGGGAAGGGCCCTCCCCGCCGCGGCCCGCCCCCGCCCCTCCTCCGCGCCCCTTTTCCCGCCCTGGGTGGCATCTCCTCCGCGGCAACCACAACGAGCCTCTGATTAATGAGGCCCGGCCCGGCCCCGTCCTCCCCGGGAGGGGGAGGGGACGGCGGGAAACGCGGCCCGGGGAGAAAGGGGGGCGGGGCGGGGCGGGGGCGCTCGGCCCGCCCCCCTGAGTCCCACGCCCATTGGTCGTGCGCGCCGTCCGTCTGGGGGCGCGGCACCAATGCGGGGCGGCTGGGCGGGGCGGGCGCGCCGTGTGTGCCTGCGTAACGCCGAGTCACATGTTGTTTTGCTCTTCTTAGTTCAGTCACTCGGTGCGCGATGTGTTACTCACTGTGCGGCGGGGACCGCGACAAGCTCGGGTCGCCGTTGGCAGCAGCAATAGCAGCCCCGGCGGCGGCGCGGACCCCGAGTGCCCGGGCGCACCCCGGCTTCCTGGAGCGCGGCGCGGCGACTGCAAAGGTGCGGCCGCGCGCGCCTTAGGCTCGGCCCCGCGACTCGGGGACCCCGACTCTCGGCCCAGCCAGCGAGTCCCCAGGCGCCGCCCGAGAGCCCAGGAGGCAGCGGCCGCGGGCAGCCGGGCCGGGGGGCGGCCACCGCCCGCACCAGGCATCCTCCGGAGCCTCGGAGGGCGCTGCGCCACCGGAACGTGAGGGCCTCCACGGACCTTCCCCTCTCCTGGGTCGGTGGGACGCGTGTTCCGGCGGGCGGCGGGGCGAACGGGTGGCAGGGAGCCGCCCCCGCCCGCGCCCCTCCGCCCTCATCCAGACCCTCCACGCCGGGCTGGGCTGCGCGGCCTGAAGAGCCGGCGATGGCCAGTCCGCCGCTGCATGGATCCCCCGGGCCGGCGGGCGGCGACGGCCCCAACCTCAACAACAACAACAACAACAACAACCACAGCGTGCGCAAGTGCGGCTACCTGCGCAAGCAGAAGCACGGCCACAAGCGTTTCTTCGTGCTGCGCGGGCCCGGCGTAGCTGGCGACGAGGCGACAGCGACTGCGGGCGGGGGGTCGGCGCCGCAGCCTCCGCGGCTCGAGTACTATGAGAGCGAGAAGAAGTGGCGGAGCAAGGCAGGCGCCCCGAAGCGAGTGATCGCGCTCGACTGCTGCCTGAACATCAACAAGCGCGCGGACGCCAAGCACAAGTTCCTGATCGCCCTCTACACCAAGGACGAGTATTTTGCTGTGGCGGCCGAGAACGAGCAGGAGCAGGAGGGCTGGTACCGCGCGCTCACGGACCTGGTCAGCGAGGGCCGCGCGAGCGCCGGCGACCCGGCCCCCGCCGCCTCGGCCCCCGCGGTGTCCTGCAGCGCCTCCCTGCCGGGCGCCCTGGGCGGCTCGGCCGGCGCCGCGGCCGATGACAGCTACGGGCTCGTGGCGCCCGCCACGAGCGCCTACCGCGAGGTGTGGCAGGTGAACCTGAAGCCCAAGGGCCTGGGCCAGAGCAAGAACCTGACGGGCGTGTACCGCCTGTGCCTGTCGGCGCGCACCATAGGCTTCGTGAAGCTCAATTGCGAGCAGCCGTCGGTGACGCTGCAGCTCATGAACATCCGCCGCTGTGGCCATTCGGACAGCTTCTTCTTTATAGAGGTTGGCCGCTCGGCCGTCACGGGCCCCGGAGAGCTGTGGATGCAGGCCGACGACTCGGTGGTGGCGCAGAATATCCACGAGACCATTCTGGAGGCCATGAAGGCGCTCAAGGAGCTCTTCGAGTTCCGGCCGCGCAGCAAGAGCCAGTCGTCGGGGTCGTCCGCCACGCACCCTATCAGCGTCCCCGGCGCGCGCCGCCACCATCACCTGGTCAACTTACCCCCTAGTCAGACAGGCCTGGTGCGCCGCTCGCGCACCGACAGCCTGGCCGCCACTCCGCCGGCCACCAAGTGTAGCTCGTGCCGGGTTCGCACTGCCAGTGAGGGCGATGGCGGCGCTGCAGCCGGGACTGTGGCGGCGGCCGGCAGGCCCGTGTCAGTAGCCGGAAGCCCCCTGAGCCCTGGGCCCGTGCGCGCGCCCCTGAGCCGCTCGCACACCCTGAGTGGTGGCTGTGGTGGCCGCGGGAGCAAAGTGACGCTGGCGCCGGCAGGGGGCGCCCTGCAACACAGCCGCTCCATGTCCATGCCCGTGGCGCACTCGCCCCCTGCTGCCACCAGTCCTGGCAGCCTGTCGTCCAGCAGCGGGCACGGCTCAGGCTCCTACCCGCTGCCTCCGGGCCCGCACCCGCACCTGCCTCATCCTTTGCACCATCCCCCAGGTCAGCGGCCCTCCAGCGGCAGTGCCTCTGCCTCAGGCTCTCCCAGTGACCCTGGCTTCATGTCTCTGGACGAATACGGCTCTAGCCCTGGTGACCTGAGAGCCTTCTGCAGCCACAGGAGCAACACACCGGAGTCCATCGCGGAGACACCTCCGGCCAGGGATGGCAGCGGGGGCGAGTTGTATGGGTACATGACTATGGACAGGCCTCTGAGCCACTGTGGCCGACCGTATCGCAGAGTCTCAGGTGATGGGGTCCAGGACTTGGACAGAGGACTGAGAAAGAGGACTTACTCCTTGACCACACCTGCCCGGCAGCGGCCAGTGCCCCAGCCCTCCTCTGCCTCTCTGGATGAGTACACCCTGATGCGGGCCACCTTCTCTGGAAGCTCAGGCCGCCTCTGCCCATCTTTCCCTACATCCTCTCCCAAAGTGGCCTACCACCCCTATCCAGAGGACTATGGGGACATAGAGATTGGATCCCATAGGAGTTCCAGCAGCAATCTGGGGGCTGATGATGGCTACATGCCCATGACTCCTGGTGCAGCTCTCATGGGCAGTGGCAGCGGCAGCTGCAAGAGCGATGACTACATGCCCATGAGCCCCACCAGCGTGTCTGCCCCAAAGCAAATCCTGCAGCCAAGAGCTGCGCCTGCAGCAGACTTGCCCCCCAGCGGAGCAGCAGCACCTCAGCCCGCCCCTGTGGCCAACAGGACCTTCCCAGTGAGCGGGAGCGGCTACAAGGCCAGCTCCCCAGCGGAAAGCTCACCCGAGGATAGCGGGTACATGCGCATGTGGTGTGGCTCCAAGCTGTCCATGGAGAATGCCGACCCAAAGCTGCTTCCCAACGGGGACTACCTCAACATGTCCCCCAGCGAAGCGGGCACCGCGGGCACGCCTCCCGATTTCTTCTCAGCAGCCTTGCATGGCAGTGGGGAGGTGCTCAAAGGGGTCCCTGGCTACTGCTACAGTTCCTTGCCCCGCTCCTACAAGGCCCCTTATGCCTGCAGCGGGGACAGTGACCAGTATGTGCTCATGAGCTCCCCTGTGGGACGGATCCTGGAAGAGGAGAGGCTGGAGCCCCAGGCCACCCCAGTGACTTCCCAGTCAGCCAGCACCTTTGGGGTTGGCGGGAGTGGCCACCCCCAGCCTCCTCATCCAGCAGTGCCTTCACCCATGAGGCCAAGTGGCAGCAATTTCCTGAGCCAGCGCTGCCGGGCGGTGCGGCCCACACGCCTGTCCCTGGAGGGGCTGCAAACCCTGCCCAGTATGCACGAGTACCCCCTGCCGCCAGAGCCCAAGAGCCCTGGAGAATACATCAACATTGACTTTGGCGAGGCGGGTGCCCGCCTCTCACCACCTGCGCCTCCACTGCTGGCATCTGCAGCCTCCTCCTCCTCGCTGCTGTCCGCCAGTAGCCCAGCTTCATCCCTGGGCTCGGGCACCCCGGGCACCAGCAGCGACAGCCGGCAGCGCTCCCCGCTGTCCGATTACATGAACCTGGACTTCAGCTCTCCCAAGTCCCCCAAGCCGGGCACCCGCAGCGCGGACCCAGTGGGCTCCCTGGATGCCCTGCTCTCGCCTGAGTCTGCTTCCCCATACCCACCACTGCCTCCGCGTCCTTCTGCCTCTCCCACCTCCCTGCAGAAGCAGCCCCCTGCACAGCCTCCTCCAGGGGAGCCCTACCATCTGCCTCCAGCATTGGGCACTGCCACCTCCCAGGGCCCCAGTGCTGCCTCCTCTACATCCTCCGAGACCGGGGACAATGGTGACTACACCGAGATGGCCTTTGGTGTGGCTGCCACCCCGCCTCAACCCATCGCGGCCCACCCAAAACCGGAAGGTGCCCGAGTGACCAGCCCCACATCGGGCTTGAAGAGGCTGAGTCTCATGGACCAGCTGTCAGGGGTGGAAGCCTTCCTGCAGGCCAGTCAGCCCCCCGACCCTCACCGAGGCGCCAAGGTCATCCGCGCAGACCCACAGGGGGGCCGCCGCCGCCACAGCTCCGAGACCTTCTCCTCAACCACTACGGTCACCCCGGTGTCCCCGTCCTTCGCCCATAACCCCAAGCGCCACAGCTCAGCCTCTGTGGAAAACGTCTCTCTCAGGAAAAGTGGCGAGGGCAGTGGTGGGGGCGTCCTCGGTGGGGGCCTTGGAGCAGGTGAGGAGCCACCCACGTCCCCAGGACAGTCGCAGCCATCACTCCCCGTGCCTCCAACCCCGCAGGTGCGGCCGTGGGCCCCGGGCCAGCCTGGGGGCTTGGTGGGCTGTCCTGGGGCCAGTGGTTCTCCTATGCGAAGAGAGACCTCCGCGGGTTTCCAGAACGGCCTCAACTACATCGCCATTGATGTGAGAGATGATCCGGGGCTGTCCCCCCAGATGCAGCATCCGCAGCCAGGAGACAAGAGCTGGGGCCGGACCCGTAGCCTCGGGGGTCTCCTCAGTGCCGTGGGGGGCAGTGGCACCAGCGGGGTGTGTGGGGGCCCGGGCCCTGGTGCCCTGCCTTCGGCCAACACCTACGCCAGCATCGACTTCTTGTCCCGTCACTTGAAGGAGGCCACCATTGTGAAAGGTGAGGCCCTTTAACCTTGACCTGGGGTGGAGGGCGGAGCAGTGGTGCATCTCTGGGCTTTGCTCTTCTTCCCTGTGGGCCCCTTGATCTGAATGCCAGCTACTGGCTCAGACTCCTGGCTCTTGGCTGCCTGGTGCCCTCCTTCTCCAAAGAGCTTGTCAAGTTCTGTGGACCTTTGGGATGAGGGCGACGCCTTCCTGTGGGAGGGAGACTTTAGCCTCAGGCCGTCCCGTTTCCTGTGCCCCCGGCCTTCTCTTGGCATGAGGACGTACTCCACTTCTCAGTCCAGCAGTGCCCACATCTAAATCTAGTGGGGGCCTCTGGGCGGGGCCTGAAGGCACCCGCCTTCCATCCCGTGCCTGTAGCTGGGCCCCAGATGAATCTCACTGAGGCAGAGGCGTCTTTGCAAAGTGGGCATCGCGTGTGGTGGCTGCCAGAGGGAATGGTTGCGCCATCTCAAGCTCATACCTAAACTCTCAGAGCCTGAGGCGTGTTGCTCCAGAGGGGTCAAATGGCAGCAGGGTTCTCACCTGAGCGAGTTTCTGATCAGCCAGCCCTGGTGGCCGTCTCTGATGAGTCCCCACCCTGCTGCACTGCAGCTGCACTAGGCTCCCCGGGAGGTTTGTGCCACTCAGACCAGGAGGGGAAAGCGGGGCTGGGTGGAGTCCAGGGACCCGCGGTACCCTGGTGGTGCCCAGGCAGCGGTGGACAAAACAAGTGAAGGCAGGAGCAGCTTTTCAAGAACAACTGGACGAGAGGTGCCATTCCCTTCCTTGTGGTCCCAGAGGCTGACCTTCCCAGACTCCAGATGGTGGGTGAGGAGGACTCAGAGGGGCTTGGATGTTCAATTCGTGTTTCAAATTTGTAGCGGTTTTTTTCTGTGGGGTTGCTGCAGGATAGACTCTAGGAACCACCAGACGCATACTTTGTAGCCTCTCCTGTGATTGGGAGGCTGGTAGATGCTGGCCTAAGGTCCATACTCTGCAAGGGAGGGCTCTGAAGGGCTGCGGAGGTGGCCTGGGATTCCGTATGCCTTTTGTTCTTAAGTAAACAGACCAGTTTAATGCTGTCTGAATCCAGTCTGTGTTTATGGTATGCTTGGGACTGTTGGTTCATGCAATTTAAAGTTATAGCTGTAGGGTGAATACCCTGTTATTCTAGTGCAGTAGAGGAAAGGCTATTTCCTTTTTTATTAAAACTGTACGATAGAAGATGAAAAGTCATGGCGAATTGTCAGGAGTGTGGTGCTTCAGCATCTAATTAAATCACTTGGAAGCTGTCAGAATGCATCTCATAAATGGAGACTCTCAGCTGAAGGTCACTTTGCTGGAGTCACACGTTAAACGCTACAAAATTGCCAGTGTGACGGGGTTGAAGGCTTAGTTGCCTTCTAAGACATAGACCGTGTAAACACAGCGGCGTGAGTGTAATTGAGTGGGGGAAATGTGCGCGCGCAGGTTTACTTGGTATGCCCACTTGGGTGTGTGCCAATGTGAGCATGAAAGAGCTACCTTGCGCCCAAGTCTGATCCTATCAGAAAACAGCCTGAGAACTGAGCCGCTTTCCTGCTCTTGGTGGAGGATGGGATTGAGGGGCCCTGGAACAGGTCCTCCTCTCCGGCAGCAGGAATCCTGGGCTGTGGGCAGGGCCTGCAGGCCTGAGAGGACTCAAGGCCTTTCTGATAGTGTCGTTACATTCAGATGCAGGCTTCGTGGGAGGTAGTGCCCCTTGCAGACTATAGAGATGTGAGTTTAATATTTAGAGTCTTGATGCGGCTGGTCTTAAGGTTTCCCAGCAGTGTAAAATTCCTTTCAGCTTATAGGATTCATGATCTGAAATCCAAACAGCAGTTTGTGTGTTCCAGGGTTGCTGAGCAGAGAGAGGAGGTCGGTTTGATTTCTGTTTTTCCAAAGTCTGTGGGTATCATGGTATTATGGCAAACCACCTTCTGAGAAGGAAAAGGGCTATTTTAAAGAAAAATAGCTAACTGTAGTTTGTCCGTTGTACCCAAACCACATGTTGAAAAAAGACTTGTGTGCCAGATCAGGCTTCTAGATCAAGAGCACAGCAGAGCGGGAGGGGCCAGTGAGCCATCTTGGTCAGGTGGCTCCTTCCCTACGTCTGAGCCAGAAAGGCAGCTCCAGGACCTCATCCACTCTAAGGCCGTTCCCGCTGGCAGGGGTGGTGCTCTAGATTAGAAGTTCAGGAAGGTCAGTGCCCTGTGAGACGGGGTGTATAGGCTTGCAGACAGTTTCTCTGAGGAGGAGTAGGAAAGGTACTTCCTGGCTGCGGGCTGCTCTTCCCTGGCTCTTGGAAGCAGCTGTGTGGACATGCCCAGCACTCAGGTGAAGACCTCCGAAGTTACTTGAGGCCGGGTTAATGGGGGGTTCCTTGGACACTGCTGCAGTATTTGCATAAGTGGCAATAGACTTCAAGTTCTAACAACGTTTGATAGTTGTTTACAGTGGGACTGGAAATCCGGGAGGGGTTTCAGCACAAGAGCCGATTCAGAAGCTAATGCATCTTAAGTGTAGCTATATTCGTGGTCCAGGGCAAACGCTCTGAGGCTTCTTATTTAGTGGCCAGGGAATGTTGCTTCTGTGTTTTGTATGTTGAGTATGTATAGAAAAATCCAACCAATCTGTTAGTTTTGTTGTTTGGGAACTGGAAACATACCATTTAATTTACTGTTGTTTAGAAATGCTTTTAAAAATTAACTTTTTATATTTTTGCATTAGTTTTCCTCCCTGGAGGGATACTCATTCTAAAATTGGCTTCTGTGTATGTATAAAACAGATAAGAGTTACCACGGGAAGCATCTGTATTTAAGTTGTTTGATGAAAGGGACTATCCATTCATTTCTTAGAAGAAAAAGAAACAGAAAAATCACGATTTATGTCTGAAAGTAATTGCCTTGGAAGTCTGGAGGCCAACAATGAGCCTATTTTTGGAAGCTGGTGGGACTCCTTGGCACCCCAGGCCCCCGTCCCAGCTGGGTGAGGGCTGGTAAGGTACCGCGCAGGCTGGGCTCCACTTGGAGGAAGAGGGAGTGAGGTGCTAATGAAAACACACACAGGCTTTCGTGAATGAAAGTCACATGACCTGTTCCATTTCCTTTATTGAAAGAGAAACCTTTATAAAAATAGTGCTTCACAGAAGGAAGCACCGTGCGTGGAATCAGGAAGCCAGGTTTCTGGTTGCTGCTTGTCGTGAGTCACTGTGTGACTCTGGGCAGCCACCTAATCCCTGCTTCTCACTTTCTGTCTGTGAAATGGGTGGTTCCCCCCCTTTCCTTGCTGTGTCCCAGAGCTGCTCCGACAGAAATGAGACCCGAAACAGCAATGTGTTTTCAGCACTTTGGAAGGAAAGTGGTAATAAATCCAGAAATTCTGATGGTAGTTGGAACTTTGAAACCGTGGGTGTATGCAGGAAAGACACTTTAGTAAATGGGTACCCTGAGTTCAAACAACACGCCCCCAGGCCTGCTGATGCAGGCAGGATGGCTGGAGCACTGCTTGCCTTCTGCTTGGTTGGTTCCCCTCTTCGTTTAGGATTCTTCAAGGGCTGGGATGTAGCTCAGTGGTACAGCAAGGGCTTTGCAGGCAGGGCTGGCGCTCCATCCCAAGCAGCAAACAAACAGGCAGAAAGATTTGTTCTATAGAAAAGTACCCAAAGTTGAAGAGTCATGTTTTAAATGAAAGGGTACAATAATGGGCAAGGAAATGGCATCCGATTGCTGGCCTATGTGAACAGACCTTTGAATTCCCTTTGGGGATTTGTTCATATATTAAGAAATATTGACAAAATGACGATATCTAAAAGAGATACCTTTAAAAAAAAAAAAAATTAGCTGTTAATACAGGCAACACAAGGACACAAGAACCCCTAAGCTTTCAGCTGTTAGTTCATTGTTGGGTCCAAGAGCTCGCTCAGTTGATTTAATCCTGGTGGTCACTCTCGCAGCTGTACTTTGTAGCGGTCTGGTTGTCTGTTAGAGTAAGAAAATGTTTGAGTCTTTTGTGTACCCCCTGCCCGCCCCCTCCAAGAGGAGTTTTACTAGCTTATTTTCTTTAGCAGTGTCTGTATTAAAATGAAGGTCTTTTTCTGAAGAGAACTTGCAGAAGTTCTGGTGCCAGTGTGGGCATAATGGGTTTTCTGTAGGATTCCCACTAATGCACTTTCTTTAGAAGTCCAGTTCCAGGAGCTGGGTAACTTTTGGTATCAGATTTGGCAAGTGGAAAGGTTTTCTGTTTTGTTTTGTTTGGGGGATAGCACAGAATCAAGTGTTCCCGTTTCACCTTAGAAACTTAAGGGAAAATGTAACTTTACCCTTTTATCTGTGTTGCCAAGTAGAGTGGTGAAAACAGACCAGGGACGCAGGTCCAGGCCTGGTCCGAGCCTTTGCTCCCTCAGGGGACTGTGGTGGTAGACTCTCTGCCATGGCTCTGTGTGGACAGGAGCAAAACGTAGGTTTCTATACAAGATGGGCAGCACCCTCTAATGTTGGCGCGTCAGTAAACAAAACAAAGTTTTCTGACTCTGCAAAATCGTCTTTTAGAACGTGTTGTTTATCAGGTCATGGGTTTTGAGAACAATGTTACGCACATCTAAACAGGATACTCTGTTAATTTTATTTCATTTGAACGTGATCTTCAAGACTGCGGTTCTTGGAACCAGTTAGAGGAGATAAATTATTGGCAGGCTTCCATGGTGTATTTTTGGGGGGCGGAGGGGGGAGAGAACTGGTGAAGCCCTCTTTCAAGGCAGAGGAAGTGCTGGGGGCTGAGATTGCTACTGAGTAGCCAGTGTCTTTCAAGATTCCCATACTGAAATTCTATGCATAGGAGAAAGTTTGAATAGAGAGAACTGGGGAGTATCTAGTTTGCTCCCTCGGTGCAAATAATGCTGACGTAGAATTGGGTTAAAACTCACAGGCTGCATTCTTGCAAATGATAAAACGGTCAATTTAGCAGCTCTGATTTCTTTTTTGTTGGACTAAG